ATTTAGAAAGTTTTTTCTTTCTATTTTTGTACTTTCTATTTTCTCTTCTTTCTATTTTTTCTTCTTTCTATTTTTTCTTCTTTCTATTTTCTTTTCTTTCTATTTTCTTTTCTTTCTATTTTTCTTTCTTTCTATTTATTGCAGCAGCTTACTGTATAAATATGCCCATTGGCAATAGAATGAAACATATCAGTATTCTACCATTACAAAACAGCCTAAAATCCTTCAACTCCACTACTCCTTCCTTTTTAGGAATTAGGGAAATGAAGGTAGCATTCACCATCTTCTCTATATTCTTCTCTCTATGGAACCCCTTAAACATTTTCTCTCAGGAATAACTCATTGTGGGCTGAAACAACCATGGAGATTTGGGACCAAGCAAAGTCAACATACTCAAAACAAAGACATTTTGCTCAGATCTACTAACTCCAAGTCAACCCAGCCTTAAAACAAGATGAGAAGTCCCTTGCAGCCTATTATTCATCTCTTACTTCCATGTGGATAGAGTTGGATCATTAGAAATCTATAGATTGGAAAAGTGAAAGAATGCTTCAACATAGAGAAAGTTGCTCTCTTAAGAAAGGGTGTTTGCTTTCTTGACAAGTCCTATCTCAATTTACGAGCCTATTCAAGTTCAGATTTGGGGTGGTAAGGAGTTTCATGTCTTGAAGAGGTGTTTGCTTTAGTTCAATCTGAGGAAACTAGGAGGGCTGCTATGAATCCTACTAAGGAGGAGTAGTTTGCTTTGTTGTCTAAGGGCGAAAACAAGAAGGATGAGGTACAGAAGAAAGGAGGAGATGACAAGGACAAGTTGTGGAGTACCCATTGTAAGAGACCTGGGCACACAAAAGAGTTTTGTTGGGACTTGAGTGGCAAGCCTAAGAAGTTTCAGGGGAAGTAGAACAGAGGGCCCAATGTGGCTAACATTGCTTCCTCCACATCTGACCAGGAAGGCCAACAGCAGCCGAGTCAAGGTAAAACCTCTCCAGTTCAGTTTGTGGCCTCTATACCTAAGGTAGGTCTTCTAAGTACTATGCATGATCAGTTTGAGCAGTTTGGGTGTGTCCTTAGACAACTGGAGGAGATCTCTATTACTCCCTCCACTTCTTATGCAGCAAATTCAAGTAAACCAGCCTTTCGTCCTTCCCTTCTCAGTCAACTTGGATCATAGATTTAAGGGCCACAAATCATATGACCGGTAACTCCTCTTTTCTCTTCTTATTTAGTTCTATCTGGTAATAATAAGGTTAAACTTGCTCATGGATCCTTGTCTTCTATTGCTGGATAGGGATTTGTTTCCCTTTCCATTGGTCTTTGTTTGTTTGGCATTTACCATGTTCTCAAAATGCCTTTAAATCTTCTCTCTATTAGTTGTATTACAAAGTCTTTGAATTCTTCTGTAACCTTTTTCCTTGATATTTAGCAACAATTTTGTATAAGCTTAGTAACGATATTTAACATATTTGTACAAACCTAAGTCCTTGATGTTTACCATGTTCTCAAAATGCCTTTAAATCTTCAGATTCATTAGCTAGTGACGAGCTTATACAAAACCATTGGTAATGCCACTGCCTACTATCAAGATAATCCTTTGATAACTAAAGAACTTAAAACACCACACACACCACTGAGCAATCACACATGATAACCAACTGACCACAAGTAAAATAGAAAGAACCCCCTATTTCTGACCTGAACTAGAGAGAGTTTGAACCAATTAGGATTAAGAATAATGCACTGCAGAACCTGAGACTAATTCTAGGGTGGATCACAAGCCTCAAGAACCCTCCTAGATGATATCACAGTTCATTATATGAGAATTGCAGCACTTGTAAATCTTAGAGTATATCATATGTCCCAAAATCTCCCTTATTAAGATTGCAAGTGACTAGATGCTCTGATACCATGTTTTAGTGACTAAGTATGACTACGCACAGAAGAGTGGAGGAATCAGAAAATAAGAAAGAAAAGTGGGAAAAAAGAAATATGTCTCCCATCCTAGTCTGATGCTTCTTATATGTTAACATATTAGAACTAAAGGACTCTTCTGTCCTTATAAGTGGGACACAAGTACAGAACAAAAGTAGACATAAAATAGAATAGTAAACAGAGTCCAACTACAGTGCATTTTGAAATTTTTATGGCACATTACATCAAAATTTCAACTAATCACGTTAAAGACATCACATGGGCTACTTATTTTTCATTGCTTCATGTTTCACAAGGTGTACTAATCATTAAAGACTTTAACAATGTTAATGATGTCACATCACTATGATGTGACACTTTATCACTGGTTTGTTCACATTTGAGTTATGTTGCAGCCATTTCCATAGAGTGCATGATTTTTCCTAGTAAAAAAGGGCAATACTGTCCCTGACCTCATGCTGCTTAAACATAAATAATATGTTTTACAAAAATTTACACCAGAGACAGGAAAAATCAAACCATTTCTGAAGGCCTCAAAGACTTTAAAAGGTGGGGGATATGAACAATTGTTAATTTGTTATACATATTTCCCATGATCCTCTGTCTTTGCAAAACAATCTGCAAATGAATTACAAAATCTAAGCACCAAAGAGGAATAAAGGAAGATCTGTTATGATAGAGTGAAATTTGCAATGGCATTAACTGATCCACCTTCCACTCTGGAGAAACAAAACTTCTCCTCTTCCATATGTGCCAAACACTCAGCAATGCTTTAATTTTCTGATGCACCAGAGCTACTAAACTGCCATATCGTGCTTCCATCCATGGGATGGATGGATAAAAGGCATCACTAATTCCAACAGGACCAGTATTTCCAATGTAACTGCCATCAAGCATTACTCTAAGGACTCATCAAAAACCTCTGGGGATGCCAATGCATCCTTCAGTACATGCAGTAGTACCCGATACATTCATAAATCATAACTATATGGGGTGGAGTCAACAGGAGAGATGAACAAATATGGAAACATGAAGCAAAAGTATGCATAGTTTCAACACTGCGGGCCACTGCGGAGATTGATAACTGGGTGAAGAGCCACTGCAATTCATGAATGATTGTAAAATCATGAGAGTAAAGATGCTTACCGAGAACAGTTATACTTCCCATCAATTTACAACTTAATACGAGAGTATTATAACAAAGTAACAAACTCAAGGCAGAACCGCTAAGGTTACGTTTGGTTTGACAGAAAGTAAGAAGCAGAAAGTTGAGAGAGAAATTTCACACAATGGGTTGTAACAGAAAAGAAAGTACTAAGTAGATTCGGTAGTTGAGAGGTGGCCTACCTCCATCTCCATCTCCATCTCCATCATTACAATCCATGGAAAAGTTTCTATCCAATTCTGCTCTTTCTTCCTGCTCAATAGTAGTACTAGTGGCAACGGTAGTATCTGTAGAGATGGTAACCTGATGTCTAGGCGGCCTTCCTTTCAAAGCCGATCCGCCCTCCTCCTCTTCCTCCACCCATTTCTCCTCCTTGTCCATTCTTCTCCCGTAGGAAACGGTGGATGTGCCAGGAACTATGGCCTTTTAGGGAGATAAAAAGGTCAACGAGGCAGCTAATAAATACTCCGGGTTCACCATCTGAGTACGAACTGTCGCTGGATCCCGCCGAACTGTAACCAGCAAAACCCAACGCGCTAATCAGATACAGCTGAATTCAAATCTGCTACCCACAACAACAGTACCCACAAGACACCATAGCCGTACATCGGAAAAATCCACCGTACTCGTACATTATCATTCATGAGGAGATGATCCGAATGTGCGGCTGTGCTGTCTGTGGGTAGGTGTAAGGTAGCGTCTTTGTAGTAGCAGATCGGGACTGGTTCAGCTGGGAGCCTGGGTCTCTTATCTCTCGTGTCCCTGGATTGATTACTTGATTTAATGCTACTGATATGCTGGAGATAAAATCATGTACAGCGGGCAGGGCAACCAATCACAAATGAATACAGTGTAATTCATGGGATTCACGTGGGAGACAGAACATTGGCGTGTTCACTCGTTATTGGTTGCCCAGTAGGCTGTTTTATGATTCAAATAAAAAATCTGATTTCATACCACTTAACTCTTTTTTATTCTATTTATTTTTATAAGGAAATTTGTCTAAACCTGTTTTTCATCATTTATCATAAACACACTGCAACTTTTTAAAATGTCTAAAACTCACTATAGCACTAAAAGTTCAAAAAAATATGTTCAAATATAAAATACATAAAACACAGAAATTACAAAAAATATAAAAAATTATAGAAATTGAAAACAAAATAAAAAGTTGTTTTCAAATTATAGAAACTATAGAAATTGAAACGCAAAATGAAAAAATAAAAATTATAGAAAAACACAGAAATTGCAAATAAATGACAAAAATACAGGAAAATCTATAGATTGTAGAAAATAGAAAAATGTAACAAAAACAAAAACTATAAAAAACATTGAAAATTATAGAAAATACTAAAAATGCAAAGAAAAAAAGAAAATTGAAAACCGAAAAAGACCATTTTCCTCTAACTCACCATTCAAGGGTAATTTGGTCATGAAAATTGTTATTTATATTGACGTGGATACCTCTACTAAGAAGAATTAATGGTGCACTAATGGAATGTGAGTTTTGGAAAATAAAATTTTACTAACATCAGTAAGTTTTAGATATTTTGAAAAGTTGTGGTGAGTTTAAGAGAAATGTTGAAAGCTCATGGTGAGTTTTAGACAATTTCCCTTTTTATAAATAGAGGGGCGGACCTAGGGACCCAGGAATCATGGCGCTGGGCTTTGGTCCCCCATGGTTGGAGTAAGTATATTTATATAAATATAATATAATATTTTAATAGCTATGTATGATATATATATATATATATGTGTGTGTGTGTGTGTGTGATTATCAAGGTCAAACGGTGGAGCTCTCTTGATTCTTGAATCTCTTCCAATTTTTTAAAGTTTTTTTATATAGCTGATTAATTAGAGAAAGTGAAATTGATTCAATACATTAGAACACCACAAGGAAAATAAGCTTTACATTTGAGGTATAAGTATACAATTTTAAATTCCTTAGGTTTTTTATGTTCTTTTCTTTTTTTTGTTTTATTTATTGTTGCTTTTTTCATTATTTTCCTCTTTCGGTAAGTATCGTTATTTTTCTTTTTGGCTCCGTTTGGAAATGATGCAAATAAAGTGTGAACATAAATATGCAGTGTAAAACGGTTCATGTAAATGCAAAGCTGGGTTAGTTTTGCATTGACGAATTTACTTTCTTAACAAAGTGTTAAAGTCTATTTGGTAAGAAGATAAATTTGTCAATGCAAAACTAACCAAAATTTGGAATTTATATGACTGTTTTACACTCTACATATTTGCATTCACATTTATTTGCATCGTTTCTAAATGTAGCAGGACTTTTTTCAATCCAAATTGGAATTACTAATTATTTGGAAAATTGCAAACCAAAGTTGAATCAAAACCAATTAATTAACTAATTGATTGGTTCGGTTTTTTGACTAGCTTGGTCCTTCAGTTTTTTTTTTTTGGTTTCTGAATATATATTATATGTTGTAAATAAATATATAATTTTATAATATAAATATTAGAAATATATAATATATCATATGTTTATATTTAATACATAATAATATAGAAAACATATATAATATATACCAATTGGTTTGATTATCCACCATTTTTTCATATTGGTTAACTAAAACCGAACCAGAACCTTCAGTTTTTCCAAAAAACTAAACCAATTACTTCAGTTAACCGGATTTTTTGTTCGATTTCATTGGTTGTTTCAGTTTTTTATGAGCACCCCTAAGCACAATATCCACCTACCTTTGCCTTGTTGCTTAGTGCACACTTGCCCAGGCACTTTGTTAAGGGTGATCGTTTTAGCTCGACTCACATAAGCTTAACTTGAAATTTTCAAGCTTAGGCCTAGGCCCACATACCATAAATTTTTTAGCCTAATATTTCCAGTCCAGGACCAATCCGCACACACACACATATATATTATAATAATAATAATATGACATTTATAATATATATATATAATATTTTTATATTGTATAATGTATAAAATAAATTTATATGCATATTATATATCATTTAATATAAAATATTATATATGTAACATTATATATATATATATATATATATATATATGTATATAAGACATCCAAAATCAAGCCTAGAACCCGAGCTAAAGCCTAGGCTATAACTCTTATAATAAGTGAAAAGCTTTACTTGGCATGCAATCACCCTTATGCTCTCCTCAGCCCACTAGCCCTAGCCAACAACTTAGCCCGCCCTCTTGCCCAACCCACTCACCTTGGCCTAATCACCCTCCCTTATAATTAATAAGGCAAAGCCAAGGAAACCCATTTAAAAAAAAAGAAATATATATATATAAAGTGAAAAATTAAATAAAAATGTTAGCATTTTAATCATTTTTTATATTAAAAATAATGTATTATATTATTTATATTTTTTTGGTATTAGTCGTATGCTTGAACACCCCCGCATGGCAACAAAATAATAATTCTTCTCCAAGTTCGATAGTAACAGGTAGTAGGACTTGAATCCGCATCTTCACTGGAACAACCAGCTAACATACCAATTAAGCCATCATTCATTTGGCTATTAAATTATATTTTAATTGTTAGAATTTTCACTATGAAAATTTTAGCCTCTCCTAAACAAAACATCCTGGCTCTGGCCTCGTTAATGCCCTTCGGACTATATATTATTATATAATATATTATCAGTGTTATATAATATAAAACATGTATATAATATTTATATATACGGGCTGGTTTGGGCATGAAATATTAGGCCCAGTCGCCCAGGCACTGCCCTAAATTTTGAAGGCCTTATCTGATGTGGGCCTGGGCGCATGCTGGGCTGAAATGATCACCTGTTTTTTTCTAAAATGCCTGTAGGTTAATCCAAGAGAAGGATGCCCTTATACTTGAACTTGCCCTAGGAGTGGTTGGAGGTGGTTAGCAGCGGATGACCAAGATCTCATCCGATCTATGTCACATGGCGCCGTTCTGACCCTGCCACATGCGCCTACTGCTGCTTGATGAGAGGAGGTAGCAGCATCCAAATTAATCTTCAGGTAGCCAGGAGGATGAGACCAGGTAGTAGTTTGGGGATGTGTAGTTGATGGAGACGGTGAGGATGGAAATTGTAACGAATTAAGAACTTTGTTAATGTTGTTTGGACATTGATGATAGTGGAGGGATTCAAAGGTTTATGTTCAAATAATAGTTCATTAAGAGCGTGCCATATGTGATACGTGTCTAAGGAAAACAGAAGCCCGCAAAAACAAATTAGAATCTCAATGATGGTTGTTTTTATCAAATTCCACCAGTAGTGGAATGGATCCATGATAGTAGTGCCACAATTAAGGTAGTCAGGTGAGAAACCTAACTGCGATCCAAACCAAACGGCCCTGGTCCCAGGGCGGGTTGTGAACAGATGGAGTAAATCTTCCTCTGTAGATGCACAGTTTGGGCATTCCAAATAGTGAGGCCAGGAATGATATGACCCATTTTGGAGCGAGTGGGTCAAATATCCTTGGCACACCGCCAAATAAACAACTTTCGAAAATCGAAGAGACCAAAACCATTTCCATTGTAGATCTGGAAGGAAGACTGCTGCAGTTGATGGTGTGGCATGTGAATGGCATACTAGTTTGAGGCCTGAAGATGCAGTATAGACTATAGTACTCTTGCGGTGAGAAGGTCCAAATTAACTTATCAGGAATGCATAGGTAAATGGATTTTTATGATCATGGTGGCTGCGAATGAGTCTATTGTAGAGTGCAAGAGATGTGTCCTCCATTGAATAGTATTTGGATCAGTGAAATCTGCAACTAAACAGTGATAGCTGGAATTAAGGGGGGCAATCTTTTTTTGGATTTTGAGAGAGGGAAAAGTTGGTCAATGGGATTTTGGTTTCCATTGACCAAGAATCCCATGTTTTTTTTTTTTCAGATTTATGTGGGGAATAAGGAAAGTTTATTTTCCTGGGTAAACTTATCCGGGTAAGTGATACCCATTTCCTAAGTGGATAAATAACTTTCCCACCTAGGGGGAAAGTTACCAACACTTGAATAGGACAAAAATGCTCATTTTGATAAATAGATTTTTATGACTAAAATGGTCATTGCCTTATTTATGTGAAAAATAAAATAATATGGATAAATGCACTTATCTCGATAAATATTTCCCAAGAAAAATTTATCCAAATAACTACATTTACTTAAATAAATAACTTACTGAAAAAACGAACGGGGCCTAAGAAAATGATCTTTCAAAAAAATTCCATTACCACACCAACTGTTTGACCATCTCCAATACACCATTAAACTCCTTGGAACAGTATGCCTCTACATTAAATTTCAATATACCTGCCCAATACACCATTAAACTCCTTGGAACTCAGATGACTGGAGGTCCTGAATTTCTCGCCATTCAAATATATTGTTGATAACACGCGCCCAAAGCATATGGGAGTTGGTTAAAAAGCGCCATCCAAGTTTAGCAATTAATGATCTATTTCGTAATCTACGAAAACCAAGACCACCTTCTTCTTTGGATTTCATTAAATCATCCCATTTACAAAGATGAAATTTCTTTCGGCTCGGCGAATCACCCCACCAAAAATCTCTGCATAATAAATCAATCTTTGAACAAATCGATCTGGGGAGTAAATGGCTTTGCATGATATAATTCGGTATTGTTTAAAGAGTGGTCTTAATGAGGACAGTTCTACCTGTTTGGGAGGGTAAATTTATCTTCCAACGGTCTAATTTCTTTTATATTTTCTCAATCAGAAATAGTGATCCCCTAAATATATCTCCTGCAT